AGGAAAATCTTTGAAGTGTAATCACTCAAAATGATAAAAAAAATTGAAACACAGATGACCTAATTTACCACATTAAGCCCAGCTCCTTAAAAAGAAGTAGTCATTGTAATGCCCACGTTTTAGGCATTATCTAATACAGATATTAAGATTGGTGCTTATGCAGAGCATGGATCAAATGCCTAAGAGTGGGAACGACAAAATCCGGTAGGATGAACTAGAGCCACAGAAGCGAAGCTGAAAGAAATGGTGGAGAGGTACATCTTAAAAACCTACCCTAGTCTGGGACTTTAGATTATTAACCCCGGCCTCATTGAGATTCATAATCTTGAATTTCCTTTAGGAATTAGGTACTCTTTCACCCTTTTTAAACAACATCTCTGGTTTAGTTCGTGTTTACAGTCCTCCAATGTGGACTCAAACCCTTAGGTGTTTCTTGCATTGTCTGGTTAGAAAACACATTTGTAGCAATGGGCAAGACACCTAATCACACTTTTTTGACTTTGCTAAAGTGCTTTTTTGTAACTTTGAAGACATTCCTATTTGCCCCGTTATGGCTAACATCTTTTAGGTGAGGAAGACAACTGGATGATGTGGTAAACTGGTGAGATTTGGAGGATGCAGGGACGACTGTACAGGCTATATGTGTGAGGTGTTCTTTTTATTCCATAATTTACTGCATTACTCAGCACGTGAAACCATCTGCTGAAGCTGCTCAGTCCTTTGCCTCTCCACCTTTCTCCTTTCAGTGGAAAAAAGCCTACATCTTCCTTTATCTTGGTGCTCTGTTAGATGCCTTTTTGCCCTGAAAGCTCAAATGAGATGACTAATAGATGTCCTTGAAAGTCTTTTTTTTGTCCGCCTTTGGTTTTTCATTCCACATTCAGTTCACCACTTTGAAGGTTCCTAGGTTTTTGCGTGTTGTCCATTTGAATGCTGTGCCTGGCTCATTACAGCAGAGTCTTTAACACCTCACCCTGATACAGCACTGGTTACCTCATTTGGATGGGGTATAATGACGCTGCTTTGTACTGCAGCGAGGAATAAATGCAAGCAAAAAGGATTTGTATGCTTTTTGGGGGAGGGCAATGGAAAGTTTGCCCGTTTGGCATACGCAATAAATCGAGGATTTAGCCATTGCTTAATGTGCCGTAACTCCACTGGTGCTCTGTGCGGCGGACTACTACACCACCGGTGCTCCCCTGCTGGAGCGATGGGATACATCTTCTGCACAGAGAGAAGTCTCCAAGTCTCACATCTGCAAAGCAGCCTTGTTCACCTTTTGTCTGGTGGAGAACAGGATTCCTCCTGGCTCCGTACTCTTTTCATGAGCCTGCCAAAGGCCACAGAGGCTTTCTGGATGTGCGAGACTACCTCTCTGTCACTGCTGGCATGATCATTTGCAGCACTTCCAAGATAAGTGAGAATCTATGGCTGTTAATAAGGAGCCTTTCCCAACAGACTAGTTCTTCAGCATCAGATGGCTTTCTTTTCCAGTCCATTTATCTCCTTTAAAAATGTTGCCTCTGAATCAGTCACCGAAAACGTAAAAAGGTTATTTCTATCTTTGGATGGACACATAATGAATTTTTATGGATGAAAAGCCTCTGTTTTCTCTCTTTCACATTGCCAGTCCTCCTGCCGTTTTATTCCTCGTGGAACAGAACAGCTGTCAGGAACGTGCATATGTTTTGCTGCAGTTGCATCCACAGTGACAACCAAAAAAAATACAGGAGGGAGAAAATTAATATATTGCTACTTTTCCCTTTGTACTATGCTGCTTACACATGTATTTACTAACATGCTGCTCTATCATGGCTCCCATTAGAGTTATAAAGTTTTCCTACATATGGGCTTTAGGCTTTTCTAAGCACAAATTTGACTTTTATTAGAGAAACTTGATATAAGACAGTAATTTCAAAACTGACTTATTGCACACTTATTGGCTCAATTTGTGAAGTTTTATAAGATGCCATTATTTAATTCCCAGAGCCTGCTTGCAGCTGCTGCTGCTCCTGCTCTTCTTGGAACACCTTTTTGCCTTGGCAAAGTTGCATGCTACAACCCCCTCCAGTTGGTAAACACACAAACAGACCATTGAGCGCTGAAACAAAGTATGCTGTATGCTTCTGTAAGTGATCGTAATGCCTGTTTGAAGGGTTGAGTGAACCCTTTTGGAAACTAGAGTTTTCTGTGCATAACCTCTGAAGCTCGCAATTGGTTAGCTCTAGAGCCAAGATTGCCTACGGTGTAGTTGGGACAATGAGTGCAGCTGGAAGTGCAGCTTGGTGCAGACACACTTAGACTGGTTTTAAATAAGGTGGCTGAGGTACTGGGAGCAGGCCAGCAGCCCGGGCTGTGAAACCCAGCTGAGAGGCTGGCTAGATACCCGGGCAGTCGGCCGCCTTGTGCTCTGTGCTGCCATGGCTGTTTTGCACGTAGCACTGTCCCTGAGCTGCTCAGCCCTGCCCCTCACCACTGCTACAGCGAGGAGGCAGAGGAGCAGGAGGACCAGGGCTATTCCGCAGAAGGGCCAGTTGCCCCAGCAGCAGGGACTGCCCCACACATCCTTCCCTCGGGGACAGCAGCTGCCAAGCAGAGCAGATGTCAGGGCCATGGATGTTTTCCACACCCCACGCAGCTCTCTCCAGCTGGCGGATGAGATTAAAGCTAGTTTGAGTGTGTCTACATTGCCTTTCAGTCTCAGCTGTGCTCCCAGAAAGACAAGCATGAGGAGCTAATAGCACATAGCTGGGGTAAACTGTGGGAGACTGCTAGATTGTGAACCAGGAGTAAGCAGATCCTTCTGTCCTACATCCAAGTTTTCCCTTAGTATGGAAACATCTTAAAACTTTGCCCTGTGATGTTTGTGCTGTGCAACATCTCTAAGGCTAGAGTAAGCCTTGTAAGAGACAGGTCAGTTTAATCTCCCTAGTTGTTCAGGGAAGAGACCTAAACCGGACTAAGAAGGAGGCTTAAGAATTTCTTAATTGCCACTATCTTGCAACATGATCTTTAATTATTGATTGTTATCATGGGGATTTTTGGGAAATGAGCAAGTATGGCCCAGCATTACACTGTTTTGGGCTGAGGGAGGTGACAGGGAAAGTGGAAGTCTTAGCTGTTCTCTAAATCACTCTGACAGTTGTCATTGTCTTTAATATTATTCACCTATCTTTGAGGAACCTGCAACAATGACTGTTAGCTCATTCTTGATGTAGCTGATTTTCTTTCTCCGTATGTCTCAGCATTCCTACATCTGGTGTAAGAAACCATAACAAAGCAACCAAAACCATTACACTGCAAAAATCAAATGTGAAATATTTTCATGTACGCTGTGTGTATGTGTATTTTAAAATGTGTCTGTTTAGAGAGGTGTAAGAAGGTGGAAGACAGCCAGACTCATTTCAGCAGACGTATGGAAGGGTGCGCTAGTTTGGAGGCTAGTCCTAGGTGCTCACGCGCTCTCTAACCACTGAGAGATACCAGCTCCTCCAGGGAGAGATGGAAAGCAGGAGTCCAGAGCTCTAATTCAGGTGCTCTACAGCCTCTCTAAGACCATCCTAGGCACAGATTTTTTTACTTGATGAAATTTATGTCCAAAATATACTTTGAAACTTACCCACTAAATGGAATTTCAAGACAAAAGTGCAGATATAACTTTAATTACACTTATACTAATGCTAGTGATGCAGCTTTGTTGAAACATTCAAACTTATTTCATTAAATATACCCGTTTATAGAGTGTGCAGTCAAGGTAACCTGAATGTGTTGCTGCCCTAAGGGGATCATACCTTATTTTCTGAAGCTCAGGGTAATTTCCTCTGTAAACTTGCCACCCTTCCACCAGCTAATAAGTAAAATATGCAGGAGATTAAAAATACTATTCACAACACCAGGTGATAATTTGGCAATCCTGCAATGGGAGCATGAGTTATCATTGCTTGTTCACTTGTTTGCTTTTGTAGTATTTCAGTATATAACTTCTGCCTTTGAACTGACTATCTGGCAAGTTATCCTATTAAGGTTAAGCTCTTTGGAGAATGTAAGCATGTGCTTGTCATTGCTTGAGGAGCATTCAAACCCAGCACCTTGTTGCAAACCGGTCAGTAGCAGGCAGGTAGTGGCAGAGTATTAAAGTAAGGCATGTATAGCTTGACTTATCTTCCCAGCCTTCAGAAATCAGTGGCTTAGTGATGCCCGCCAGTGACATCCACTGTGATTAATATCCTGAGATGAATCTACCTTCCATAAATCTGTCTGATTGTTTTTGGCTTCCTCATCATCCTTTTAGTGATGAGTTCCAGAACTTAACTGCACGCTGTGTGAAAAAGTTCTTCCTTTTAGGTATTTTAATCATCTGAAAATTGCATAGGGAACACAGAGATAAGGCATCCCCTGTGCATAAGGTAGGTCTAAAGACAGTGGGTCTCCCCCTAGCCTCCAAACAGTAAATAGTGATTTCGAACTCACTTCCTCCATGCCACTCACAATACAGTAGATGCTCCCTAATGCCACTCTTCTGTTGCCACTTTTCTGAACTGAAATTTCCTGATCTAATTATTGTCTTCTTGAATGGAAGGTGCTGTATAGGTGTGATTTGTGACTGTCCTTTTGCCCCTCTTTGTATTTTCTCTAATTCTAGTTCGCAACTTCACACCAGCTTAGGGGCTGGTCCAAATGCCTGTACTTGACTGTACATTTAAAATTAATGTCAGGACGAATACCTCGGTATTTTATTTGACTTTATTCCACTGAGGTATTGGGCTGTAGGCCTACCTAATGACTGATTTAATACTCTAGCAGATAGTTTGTGTACAATGAAGGCAATAAGAATGAAGCACATTTAGGAGCATAGCCAAAAACTCAAATCTTCTTCACAGACAATAGAATCTCAAGTGCCCTCATCTCTCTTCAACTTGCCTAGTTACCTACTATGAATTTTTTTTTGGCCTGAGTAGTTTCAGTTGCATTTCTAAATTTCATGTATTTTTCTCCTCCAGAGGTTGCCCAAGTGTGTAAACCTTTTGCCACAAGGCAGGACCGCATCTTTGCTTTATTTGTCTTATTATGAACACCCTGGCCACTTTCAGAGGCAAGCTCTGTGACTTTTCAAACCTCTTTGCTGGTGAGCCTCTCCTGATCTGACATCAAGAACTTCCTTGGCCACTGCCTTCGTTCTCTTCTTTCAGCCAGCTCTCTGTGGGGAGGTGAGTATGTTATGAAAGGGAAGCTCATTTCCTAAGCAAAATCAAACCCTCTCCAGGTCTTGTACTGCAGTGCTCTCTGTACTTACCGTATTAGACCACTGTCAAGAACTGCACTTATTTTTCCCTCCTAATGGTAGTATATTTTGGCACTTGAATACCTGCAATGCAAAGCCTCCATCCTCAGATGTACCTTCAGTGCACGCTGTTTTCTGCATCTATCACGTTACCATGTCAAAGTTATCTGAAAATTCTGAAAAGGATAAAACTGGTCAGAGTACCATTTGGACCACAATTTTATGTAGGAAAGGCTGGTTCTTCTAGAGCTTTTTGGGACCTGCACCACTGCCCTTCTCTTTGCTTAATGAGGCCTGTGGGCATATAGCTGATTTAGTGGAAACTAACAGTCAGAGTTTACATATGCTCTAATGACAGCTGACTTTACTTGCACAAGGCTTTTGCTAATGATTAAAGCAGATGGACAGAAGGAAGAGAGCAAAATGCTAGAATGTGTGAGAGGTGAAAGGGCAAGAAGAATTAGCCCAGAGATTTCCTGTGGTCGGTGGGTGTTTTGTGTTGTGTGCTAAATCAAAGAATTGTTTTTAGTGAATAAAATTGCTATACTTCAGCAACTTAATTAAAGCTATCCTTTTTCTCCCTCCGAATAGGAAATGGGTATTATTATTATTAGATATGCTTGGGGCAGAGTATAAAGGTGATCTTGCTTTATGTTGCCAAGTGTGTTATTCTGTACACATTAAATTTGGGGCCAACCTCTGAAAAGCCAGGCTGCAAAATGCCACCCGCGTTAAATAGCACGATAGCCCACTGAGGCCCAGTGAAAACCAGGGGGAGACGCCTGGCTGGGTTCAGTGTTAGCTGGCAGCAGTCCTCAGAGCAGAGCAGAAGACAGGCCTCCAGGTGCTTGGTTGTTTCATCTGCTTTTTAGAAATGCTATATGACTTTTCTTTCCTTTGCCCTTCATATGGCCCTGCTACTGTCCTATTGTCTTTAATTTATTGGCACTAAGCAGCTGTTCGCCTGAGTCACCCTTGGTGTCCGCCTACCCCACCAGTGATCCTCGCCTGTGCCTCCCCTTGGACACCCCTGGGAGCAAAGCGCAGGAACTGCCGCAGCCACCCTGAACGCATGGTGCTACTCTGGTTATGGGTACTGGGAGGAATAAATAAACCAAGGATTAAAATCTGAGGGGCAAGTTTCTTACCACCTCTTTCCTAATCATTATATCCTTTTGTATTCAGCTGAGGTTTGAACATCTCCTTTGGATTTCTTGAATGAGTAACCAAAAAAGGCCCTAATTCTACTTTCAGTTACTTGGATATCTGTTTAACTGAAGTCATAACTACATCATATTCTGCTTTCCATGGCCACAAGGATACCACAATGTTCTCCTTTAGTCTCCAGTGATAAAAATATTTTATACATTTTAATTCCATTTTAAGACAAATTACAGTAAAATTGCTGCTATCTTTCCTCCACTAGCAACTATGTTACAAGTTAAATTAAATGCACCCTTCTGTCAAGAAAAACATCAGCAATTCAAGGAAAAAGTGTGCTTGCTTTGGTGAATTTTGTAGTTCAGACCTGTAAGGAAATAATGTTTTGTAACCATATGAGCAAAAAAATTCAGTATTGCTTGCCCAAGTTCTTTCAGTTTAGTATTTAATATTCATTTTTATGAGGAGTTGGCTATGTATCTGCATTAGCCTCAGGATAAGAATATATATAATTTTCAAATGAGTTATTTTGTTAGGTAATAATTAAATGGGCATAAAAATATCAACGAAGCGATGAGAAAAACTGTTTACAACTTACATTCTCCAAAAGTCTTCTGGCTGGAAAAAAACACTCCACTCGAGGGTTCCAAATCATAACGATGATTATGCTAATACAAGGAAGTGCCTTAAATTTTGCATTGGACAGGAATTCCAGAATATCAAAATTAGCCTCTCTTTTCTGCAATTTTTATGTTGAGATTTTATTGTTGCTTTCACTTTCCTATGCCCTATAATTTAACATTTGGAATAGTAATTTGCTTTAACCTCTCCAATAAATCCATGAGAGTTCCTCTCTCTCTTTTCAGTTGAGATTCTCAGTATTTTTTAGGCAAAAAAAGTTCCCTGGTCTGGAAGAATCTATTTGTTGTGAAGAAATCCACCTTGAGAAAACTACGAGGACTTCTTATATTCTGGTAAGCATAGGTAGATAAAGATCAGAGAAAAGCTTGTACCAAAAATCAGCATGACTTGTTGTTCATATCTGTGCTGGCAGACTACAGGCCCAGATATAATATTTTATGGAGTTTGGATCAAGAAGAAAAAAGAATCAAACCAAAACAACTTTTGTTCTTTTAAAAAAATGATGAAAACGCCAACAACTTTTGTTCCAGTAATATCTCTCTAGCTTTGATTTAAGCTCTAGTTTCATTCAAATGAAACCACTTCTTAGTTTTGTCTGGTTTGAGAGTCATAAACATATGAAATAACCACGTTTTGCCAAACACAATAAATCAGCCCAAGGTCAGTCTAAATTTGTCTCACATTTTTTCCAAATTCAATAAATATTTAGCAGGTTCGACCAAGGTTTGAGGTTTCTAACGGATTCCCTGAATGTATTTGGCTTCCTTTGATGGGTTGATACAGAAAGAAAACACAGTTCTACTGAAATCTAGAAGGTGATGATCAAGCAAAGCAGATGGAGATCTGCATGAACATATTTGTCCGGTTCCCTGGATCCAGTCACACAAAAGTGTTTATCGTGTGAGAATCCTTAGGTAAGGAAGCGCCCTAGTGATGATTAGCAATGCATGTGCTCACAGGCATGATGAAATTTAGATTGAATCCCCCATCCCCAGTCACTCAGCTAAAGGAACAGTTCTAATCTAATATATACCAGGCAAGGTCAAGGCCGTTTATTTTGGATTTTTTTTTTTTTTTTGCCTGGATGGTGCTGTGTAAAATTATGAGACGGTGTAGGGCACTTTTAATCTTTTTTTATACATAGGATCTTCTTGATATTATGGTATTTCTGTAACTGGATAAGTATTTACTTGGTCTGGAGACAATTCTCCTTATCAATGAAAAGATTTGTAGTTTGATGAATATCCTTAATTACTAGAGGAAATAAGGAGCCATGATGATCATCTGACTTAGAAATTGAAAAGTCTTGATTTATAATGAACTGGAAATCGTGTTGTGAAGTTTGCAGCACGATATTTCATGTTATGAATCATCCAGGCATCCCAGTCCAGTCATCCACGCGTTTCAGAATTGCTTCATTTCAGCCTCCACATAAAAATGTCTTGTGTGAAGTAACACTGTCAAATGTTCTTGAATACATAGAATTGTGAAATTTTCCTTCTGTCAATTTTGGGATTAAGGAGTGTTAAAAACAAAATGAACAAGTGTGTGAAAATAGCAAAGAGGTATCGGCAGTAAAGTGGGGAACAATCTAAGACAAATTATGTGCGTAGATTATATTTTATGTTAATCAGATTTAAAATGACATAGTGTATCATTTGTTCTGCCGTATTAAATTAAGATTATTGCTATCTTTGAGGAAAAAAAAAAGAAGTGGTATTTTAAGGTGTCATATCGCCTACTTTCGTTTTAACCAAGGTCCTGTAAAAGAGAGAGATATAAATACGGCATGGAAAAAAAATCTGCATTTAATATTAGCAGAGGCAGTGAGCTGACTTTAGCTAATTTCCATCACAAAGCACATAACTAAAATATTCTTATTATTGAAAATGAGTCCAGACTACTGATTGTGCTTGTTTATGGGAAGTTTGATCCTGACTTTTGTACAGTTGTGAGAAACTCCCGCTATATACTCTGATGCAACACAAGCAAACAGTGAAATGGAAATAAAGCTATCTTTCAGTGACATTGCACATAGTAACATATGATGGCAATTAAGAAAGACAATGAGTTTGAACAAGGCAATATGCGCAGGTACTTCAAATAGCCAGGGCTGGCTCCAGTCCTCCTGGTTTTGTTTAAAGCCCATGCCTCCTCTGTGTTGGGGATGCCAGAGGCACCTCGAGATGGGGGCGAGAGGGTGCTGCGACTGCTGGGCACAAAGTCGGACTTGCATTAAACTTCACCTGAATTTGGAGCTGGGCTTGAGTTCCTGGTGTGAGTTTATTTCTGTGTATAACAATAGGGGATAACTGAATGAATCTTAAGCCAAAATGAGCTTTTTAAAGTTACCACATGAATCTACAATTTGAGCCAGGGAAACAAAAAAACCACTGTCTTTGCAGCTGTCTTGTGCAGCTGTCTTTGGAAGAGAGAGCTGTGTAAAAAGCAAAGCAATTTCTTCCAAATCTATTTAAAAAGATGTACTATTATTTTTCTCAAATAATCAGTTTTCTCACTTGATCACTCTTGCTCAGGTATTCATTTGTTTCAGGTGTCTGTTCCTCATTTGTACCTTGGGTAACAGTCTACCTGCAGAAGGGTGTGTCTATAAAATACATCATATAGATAAAGATGAGAGAGCACAGTCAAAAATTGTGAAGCCAAGAGGAGAATCAAGAAAAATGAGATTCAGACTTTAAAAGAGAGCACTGTCACTTCAAATTCTGAGAGTAAGGAAGCTGGTGAAAGCAGCATTATATGTTGCATATTTTATTTTACTATTGAAATGGCATAAAGAGGAGTTATAGGTAAGATTAAAGGAGTATCCAAAATGCCAGAACTAAAGAGGGATCAATGCATATACCCCTATCAAGAGAAAGGAAATGATTTTTTAACTTTGTTTTTCTATCCTTTGCTCTGGAAAGGAGGACGATGAGGATGTGTGACAGCAAAATAGCTGATGTGGAGGAATTGGCACTGCCAGAGATTTCTTCCCATGGCACTCAAGAGTGTCAGCGCTGAAGCATGTCAGGGCACAGGCAAGAGGAGCTTCTGAGCCAAAGATAAAGGGTAGCAGAGACTAAAGAGAGTGCAGAAAGCCAAAAGGTGGAAGTAAAGGTTGAATGAAAAGTCAGGACCTGTCAGTTCACGGTAGAGTGCTAATTCATGGCGAGGGGAAAGGAAGTGAGTGAGAAAAGAAATAAAAAATGTTGAAGACTAGAAAATAATTTAGAAGCAGGCTCTTGCAGAAAGGGGACAGTATTTGCTACATGTAGGTTGGGAGAATAACTAAGGCTTGATGTGTGGGAGTCAGTCCAAGACTAAGTTAAAAAAGGGTAAGAAAACATACCAGCAGGGGTGCTGAACTGAGATCAAGAGCAAGCATCCTTACAGGTCACTGGAAAATCTGTGTTTGCCAGTCATTACCTCACTGTGACCACAGATATCTTCTAGCCAAAGTGTAATGAAAAATCATATTAAGCTCAGATATCCATGTGCATTAATTGTAGATCTGTAATGATATGCCGATGATATTGAGAGAGGTCCTTAGATCTGATTTGCTTTAGCAGAGAGGTGAAGTTTGAACAGTGATTTCGAAATAACTTGCAACTACCTATTCTGCCATTTTGTCACATGGGTGTCCGCCCCAGCCAGCCCTGTGGGCCCAATTCCCAGTGGAAAAACAGCATTTGTCCTGTGTAACTAAGTACAGAAGAAAGCCCTTAGCTCCACAAAGAAAATGAAATATGGAGTTTGAGAAGAGACAGTTCATTTCAGCATGGCAGCCCCGATTTAGCTAACTCCTGCTGGAAGATGCTAGCAGTAGATTCGGCCGCTGTTCTCGTGCATCATGACAAAATTGCAACAACAAATAACAAGCTTGGGACAAGCTGAAAATGAAGCAGATGCCTGGGCTCCAAATGTTCTTTGTTTCACGGAGAGCAGTGAAAACAATGGTAGAAGCAGTTGGCAGGTCATATTTTCATGATGGAACTTTTCCATTGTTTCATATTGATTTTCATAAATATTCATTAATGTGACACACAGAGTTGACTTGTGTAACAGTTTGCAGTATCTGAGGCCATTCTGTTTGTCTGATTATTTTACCGCTTGCAGATCTAATAGTGACAAGTGGGACAAGCTGAAAGTGTTTATCCTGAATGTCAGTCTATTTCGTTCCTCCAACTCATTCAGTAACTCCTCTCTTTTAGTCCCTTTACCGCTCCAGTATTTTCTCCTTGCTGGGCCGTCTGGTTGAAGGATACTCACCCTGTACCCTTGCTTCTGTCTTTGTAATCATCATAAACCTCTCATGTGTGACACCTTCTTTCCATATTAAACACATTCGCAAAAGGATCAGAAAGCCTAATGTGTCATGCAACACTAATTTGTTGAAGAGGGTGGGGATATATTTACTAAGCAAGTCACCTCTAGCTTCCTTTTCCCATAATTTATTGCAAGTGTGTGCCTCTCAATTCATGTTATTTCTCCGACGTATAAAGCCTTAGGAACCTGTTATTCTTATCGTCACCATTACTATTATTTACAGAATAGTAGTTGTTTAGAGCAGTCTTGTCCCAGCCACTGTACAGATAAGCGTCAGAATCAAAAGAAAGCATCTCTATGCTACACAAATTAAAATCTCAGTAAATAAGAGGCGGAAGTGCCCTGATTAAATAAACAAAGAGGTGAGGAAAGTGAAGAAGAAACATATCCTTTAGTTGAGAAGTTGTGACTAAGTTTTGCTACTCAGTAGAAAAGGGTGTATGAAATACCTTGGAGAGCTGAGAGGCAGGGCTGCAGACAGTGGCCAGTGTCCCAGCTGCTGGAGACAAGGCCTTGCAGACCGGGGTCAGCGTTAGCAGGAAGAGCAGCAGAAACCTCATCCCCCAGCATCGTTCTGTGTGCAAATCTGAGAAGGGACCGAGTGGCACCGAAACATGCAGACACTAACATGGGCTCTTGCTCAGCTCTTTTGTCAGCCATCGCCTTATGCAATGACCAAAAAATGAGAAAGGCAACAGCTGTTTCTCTCATATATCACATTATGGCTGCCATGCAGCAGGGTTGATGCAAGGCCTGAACACAGGAACCGCAGGATCATAAAAGGGGCATCCATAAGGGACACCAGCTCCCAGCTACTGCCCTCACTAATCCTGAACCCAGTAGGAGCCCAGAGGCAGATGCTGCTCAGCAACTGCTAGCAGCACCTTGCGTCTCTGATGGGCAGCATCTTAATATGTTTCTACTAGCACACTTAACCTCTAAGTTGGGAAAGAAAAACAGTCTGCCACCTCTCCCTTAAAAATTTGCGTGCTGCTGGCCTAAGCAATCTATGTCCACTCAATCAAGTCTTTCGTTATGCATGTCCTCTGAAAGTTTCCCAGACATATATTAACCTTCCTGCCACTAAATGAAGCAGGAATCTCAGTGCAATTTCATACTGTACATGGCATGTCCGTTTGAGGAGCAGAGAGTCTGCAGCTCAGAATAGGATAATTTTCTATCAGACCAACCCCAGCAAAGACTTTTGGCTTGCTTTCCAAAGTTGCTGAACATCTGCTGTTCTTGCTGACTTCAGCGCATGGTGCAAGAGCTCAGCAAGAGCTCAGCAGCTCTAAATGTCAGACTGGCTGCATGACATCCTGAAGTCTCCTGCGGTACGTGGAAGCTCCACAGTGGGTATGATGTTGGCATGAGACAGGTTTTTTCACTCTGCTGGAAGGAAAAAACACTCATGGTCTATAGCTGAACAAGCAATTGATGGGGAAAATGCAGCAGTGGCACAAAAAATGTGGTGCAAGCTGAGGCAATCATCGCTGCTGCAAAAACAATGAACACCTTCTGGCTACATACATGGCTACATGTGTTATGCATTAGAGTTACACATGTTAACTATACCCATATATTTTTTCCTTCTGCAAAGATAGCCAAACCCTGGTGCTAAAGGCTGACTGACTGATAAACATAACATGGTTCACTGGATTCATGAGTCCGTGGGCACAGGAGGCCTGAGATCACTGCCAAGCTACTGACCAGCATGTTGGCCTTAAGCGACTTTGTTTCTCTGCTACTGCAGTTGGTCATCTGTTCTCTGCCTCCCTTGCAGTTGTAAGCTGCTGTTAGGAAGCACTGACAGGAGTTAGGGGAATATAGGTGGCTGTTTCCAGTGAGTGCCATTGCCTGCTGACAATTAACTTTGGCTTAAGAGGGGCTGTGGGATTGAGTGAGATTTCTTAGGAGGAGGGACAGGTCTGTCGATATGGAGTAAGTCAGGAAGAGACACTGGATCCAATACTGTTTAACCTCTTCATTAATGACCTGGAGGATGGGGTGGAGTGCACCCTCAGCAAGGTTGCACATGATACAAAACGAGAGGAGTGGCTGATACCCCAGAGGGTTGTGCTGACATTCAGAAGAACCTCAAAAGGCTGGAGAAATGGGCCAACAGGAGTCTCATGAAGCTCAAGAAAGAGAAGTGCAAAGTCCTGCCCCTGGGGGAAAATTGTCCCGGGCACTGGCACAGGCTGGGGGCCGGGCAAATAGAGAGCAGCTAGGCAGAAAAGGACCCGAGGTCGTGGTGGACAACAAGTTAAACATGAACCAGCAATGCACCGTCGCAGCAGAGAAGGCCAGTAGCATCCCAGACTGCATTAGGCAGAGTCGTCAGCAGGTGGAGAGAGGTGATCCTTCCCCTTTATTCAGCACTGATGAGACCATATCTGGAATGCTGGGTCCAGTGCTGGGCTCCCCAGTACAAGAGAGACATGGACTTGCTGGAGTGAGTCTAGCAAAGGGCAACAAAGGTGATTAAGAGACTGGAGCATCTCTCATAACCAGGGAAGGCTGAAGGAACTGGGACTGTTTAGCCTGGAGAAGAGAAGACTCTGGGAGAATCTTCATAATATATAAATACCTACCTGCTAGAAGGCAGTAAAAAAGACAGATCCAGACTCTTCTCCATGTTGCCTAGAGATAGGATGAAAAACAACGGGCACAAATTAAAACACAGGAAATTTCATCTGCACGTAAGAAAACCACCTCTTTACTGTGAGGGTGGTTGCACACTGGAGCGGGTCATCCAAAGAGGTTGTAGAGTCTCCATCCATGGAGATATTCAAAACCTGACTAGACATGATCCTGAGTAACCTGTTGTAGCTGACCCTGCCTTGAGCAGGGGATTGGACTGGACGATCTCCAGAGGTTCCTTCCAACCTCAGTGATGCTGTGATTCTATGTGGTTCTGAGAGGCAAAGACCAAGCACAGTCTCACAGATAATTGGGCTGTGAGGAGCTGTGGGAGATCATTACCCATCCCCTTGCCTCAAGAGAGGAGCAGCTATGCCTGAACCATATCTGACAGATGCATTTCTTCTTAAAAAGGCCTCCAGTACTAGAAATTGCACCACCTCCCTCAGAAGCATTATACAAGTGCTTAAATATGCTTATCGTTAAAGAGCTTCCCTAATGTTTAACTTCATTCTTCTCTGCTCCAATTTAAGCATTTTGCTTGCTTAACATCTACAGGGAGATAAGAAGAGGGAGAATAGGTCCTTCCTGTTTGGCAGCTATCATTCAAGGCATTCAAAGCTTATTACCATTTTTCATCTTGGTTTTATTTTTTTCTAGGCTAAGCACTATCCAACTTCTTATCTGTTCTTGTTTCCTAGGCCTTTGCTTGTTCTCAGTGTCTGTGTCTGAGTCCCTCCCTTCGCATCATTTTTGAAGCTCAGCATCCAACATCAGACTCAATACTTCAGCAGAAGCCTTCCAAGCGAGCCGAAGGATGTCTCATGAACATCACTCCTGTTCATATACCCCAGCATTCACCTTCTCTGCAGCTCCCCGTATGGCACTGGTTGTTCACATGCAACATCTAAGCCAGAGTCACGCACAGGTCCTTTTCCATGAGACTGCTGTGCAACGAACTGTTTCTCCTGAGGAATTTAGGCTGCTGATTGTCGAGGAATAAAACACTACCAGGACGAATGAGAAAGCCAGTGCTTTGACACGTGGTTCATTTTGAAATGAATCATTCCTTACCAAACCAAAACCGGAGAAGTCAGCACAGATAAAACTGTTCCCCCAAGTTCGCAGAGAGCTGTGTGCCCCCAAGGCCAGTTTGATTTAACCTACCCTGCTCCGGCCACCATAGCAAAGAAAGCTGGGGGAATAATAGTAACAGCCGCAGCAGTAAGGAAAACAGAAGCAGTGAGATTTGCAGGAACTGGACGCTGGCCATACATCTGGGCTAGCCTACTGCACACAGCCCGTGATGCAAGCCCTGCTCAATGTGAACAGACATGTGCCTTTAAGCCCAGCCTCCTCATAAGCTTTAAGCAACTGGAGGATCCCCTGGAGTGTCCCCCTTCAGCATTAAAGGACCATTTATTTCTATGCTGGAACATCCTGGAGAAGGGCATGGCTAGGGCAGAAGGGAAGTGTGGCAGGGTCTGCTCACCAGAAGGCTGCTCTTTGGCCTTCCAGCAGAAACTGAGGCTTTTCCCCCTCACTCTCTGTATTCTCTTCTTTGGGCATTAGGTTCAGTTAAAGAAAATCAATACTAGTGAAAAATTCCCCTTAAAGTAGTAAGTGATTTGAAGCAACATTTTACCTTTCAAAGTCTTTGCAATATCCCAGGCAACGGAAGGATTTCAGTTGTTCTCAGTTTGAAAAACCAGTTCGCAAAAGGTACTGCATTGCTCTACGTAAAGTTCATTGGTTAAAGGTTACTGTCAGCCACTTCTAGAAAAAACAATGTCTTGATATGACTATGGTTGAAGAGTGCTGTGCATGTGTATGTGTGTGTCTGTGAGTGTGTGGGAGACAGAGAAGCACACAGCGGTTTTTATTTTGTTACTTTTAATGGGGCTATTTTGTGAGGCTGAAAAAAAAATTGTTAAACTTGCCTTAATTGATTGTTTAAAGTACCATGGTGGATTTGTCTTTTAAACATAGCCCGTGGTTAAAGTTCCCGTTGCATTGTATTTGAAGTAGGTCCTTTGTGCTTTAAAATGAAAACTGTAAAACTTTTGGTGTTTAAGGCTTTCTGACTCCAAGTTAATTGTTTTCCTTTAATATGAGCAGAATTAAAGATATTAAAAATCGACTGTTGGAGCACATAATTGTGGCCTCCCATCTATTCTTCTTGTGGAAATGAAAGGAATATTGAAAGAGTTTCTATTTTACAATACCAGAGGTGGCCAAGCATTTACAACTCTATATATTCTTTTAGTTGAATTCTTCTAAACCTCACGCCTGGCTAGCAGTTTTCTCCCAGACGATTTTCATTTTCAAAACATTCACATCCAATAAAGTACACGAAACATAGTGTGAGAGAAAAAAGGGGACAGGAAATGGCTCTGTTGCATGGTTATTACATCCTATTGCCTGTGGGTTGCTTTGTTATGAGTTTTAACTATGTAAATATGACGTATATGACATCAGAATTTAATCTAAAGCTACTAGGTGGGAGATAGAGTGTGACTTTATTGTTAAGGCTAAAATCAACTGGGTGTTGACAGGTCTCAAAAGTCACTGAGTACAAGCTTGAAAAGAAAAAGCTCAGACTGATAAGCTGTTCCTTGATTGACAACTTCAGGCTTGACTGCAAGTATTGAAAACAGTTGAGCAAATGGAGGGAAAAAAGTTTTATTTCGTAAGAAACTATACTGGGAAATGCAGGAGGATTTATAGGCTGATGTAGCACAAAAACCTAAGAAAAACAGGTGTGAGGTTTATAAAATCTGGAAACTGGGAAAGGACATTGTCCGTGAATGATTTTCCCATTATGGTTTAATTAACCTTGTAAAAGCCCCGATGCAAAAATAATGCCATGATGGGGGGAAAAATAAAACACTGGTGTCCACTAGCTTCGACTTTCAACAAATCATATGTCAACAGCTCATGGCAAAAAAGGTGGACTGAAAAAAATGAGAAGAAAGAAAACAAGAGAGAAAGATTTCAGTGGGAAATAAATGCACTAGGGAAAACAACACACTGATTTTTCATCTTTCTAGTGAAGTCAGACCAATTTTTGGCACTGTAAAATCCATTATGGAGACAATAAAATAAATACAGTTTTAAGTAGCAATCGTGGGTTGATTGAAATGTTATGATAGCTACACATGCTATATCTTATCAAATATTATCCATAAGGAAGTATTCAATTCATATTGTGCCAATTATCATACTCTGTGCATCATAAACTTTTATTGCTTGTTATGGAATGCCACTCAGCCAACTTTTTCTTCAGATATTGCATCATCACATTCAGATGGAAAACATATTCTAATGTGGCAAAGTGTTAAAGAAATCTAATACTCTGGGGCTGAATGAAAATGTTAAGGTTCATCTCCTGGATAAGAAAAACAATTTATGAATGCAATATTCATTTCCTGAGGTGGGCATAAGCAAAAACCTCATCTGAAACTTAAAACCGAGATGTTGGCCTTTACTAGTTTCCTTAGTTTAACTCATTGATGTCATGTATTATGGACCACTGCTAAGACCACATCTGGGAAGAACTGACTTTTTTTCAGCTCTCCAGATCACTTTTACAGGGAACTCCTTGTATAATTGCATGTGCTGAGATGGAACCTCAAGGGCCAACAGATCATGTTTCACTTTTAATATGTTACTGAAGAATATCAAAATAATCTACTTGTTTAATCTTGATCATGCCAGCCGATTAACACTTTGACACCCTGAATCACAGATGTTAAGTAGTACAGGGTAAGGTTTCAGTGAAGCGCATAAACTATAATGAGGCTTTGTGAAGTTACAGATCTGAGGTTAATATATTTTCTTAAGCATTCGCAGTACGCAAAGCAGTGCTGTAGTTATCAAAAGACGACTTGGACAACATTCGTAAAAAGCACCCATTGTATGTGGGGGTAGGTGCCAGAGTCAGCAGCATTTCCATGCCTGCCTGGGAAGGGCTGGAAATATTCCTCCTGGAGGTGGTGACAGAGGGCTTCTGATTTCTCTTTCAGGGGCTTCACACATGAAGCAGGAAGGATATAGCAATAGGAATTCAGTCCAAAGGACTCATGAGTAAGTGACTTACAAATGAAATGTCAGACCATGTCTTGTGCACCTCCTATATGGAAACAATGACACCAGTAAACAGCAAAACTCCCCACACCTGCAGGGGACACTTTGCAGCAGCTGAGCTAGTGGACATCGCAAGTAACGCCCCCATGCATAGTGGGGTACATGGAGGACCGGATCAAATTCTGTTCTCTGTGCTGATTTATTGGGTCAGCCTGCACAATTTGTTCCACCAAAAGCTCCGTTGATTTCCGTGACAATTCACAAAGGCAAGATAACTTCTTAACACAGCGCTAGAAGAAAGCCTTTCTGAAGGAGGTAGAATTTGATTCTTTTCTTTTCAAATCATCATGTCACTCACTTTGGGGTTTACTGACAGAAATTACATGTTTTCGTAAAAGCATGCTTGGATCATTATAGATGCAAAATATATGGCAGTAAATCAAGGATTAAGACAGAATGCTTGACGCTATCATTCCCTATTGGTCCTAATATCTGTTCCAGTCTTTATGTGTCTGGACCAAGCTTCTTTGAGAGGTAAGCGATCAGAGACAGAAGGCAGTAGGTTATGGTCAAATTATCTAACGTATATGAGAGAATAGGGAAGGACCTTAGTTTCTTCCAAGCACTTCCACGAGTTTCTCTGTCAACCCTGCATATCCTACTGTAGGAGCCCTCTCTTGTAAAATTGAAGAATATAGAACTTCAGGAGTAAAGTCTACTACTCTGTTGTGAATACTTCTCTCCTTGCGTGAAAATCTTGCATTATCACACGCCTTGCTCCCAAGGAGGCATCTCTGTCAATGTAGAGTGAGTAGAGCAGGAATTACAGTATAGCAAATGGTATAGCAAATGGGGGAACAGATGGATGTTACATGTTTGCTGCTTCAAAAACGCAAGTAGATTCATAACAAATAGGAGTCACCAGTCTTTCCTGACCTCACACGAAGTATACTAAGCTCTTCACCTAGTTGAAAAGCCCAACATACATCCTACATACCTAAAAAAAAAAGGGGATGAGGAAGAACACTGTAAAATGGTAGCAGCTCCTCAGGTGTCTGACCACTCCACTGCAAAGGATGCTGGGGCTGAGGGAGCAATCAGGATCCCAGGACACTTGGTGACCACTGGCCTCTGTAGCCTCTGATGAATCCCTTATTTCTATCCCTGAGCATTCCAGCTGTCCACCAAAACCTTGCTGCTGGTCATGTGGAGCAGTCTCAGCTTGGGAAATAACTCCTGTGCTGCTTGTGAGCTGCACGTGCTCCAAGAGTCATAGGCTGGCCACTCCAGTTTATTTTTTAGCTCCGTTATTTAGCTACCTACTATAACAAAAAAAGAAGCCTGCTGCTCCCAGAAGTGCATATTTCCATTCCATGAAATATGACCTGCTCCTGAGTCCTTGACCTCTCTCCTAAATAAGTATTTGCTAGTCCCAGTTTACCCTGGCAAATAATTAACTGGCATCTATAATGTGTACATAGTACCAGGTTTTGGTGCTGTGATGCCGCTGACTCACTGTTGCATCTGACTCATTTCTAAATGAAAAATTAGGAGTCTAGAGGTCCTCCGTTAATATCTTTGTATGTGACCCATTGCCTCTCCTAGGCTGCATTTTTCCTTATTGCATAAAAATTAAGAGGGAGGTTTGCAAAAGAACTCAGCAGTGGATTATTTCTGTTCTTTTTGAAGTCAGTAGGAGCAGAGTTAAGCCAGAAAGTCCTGATCCCAAAAATGGATAGACAAAAAAAAAATAGTTTCTTGAATGTGCTATGGAGCCTGAGAGTTGCATATGGGAAAACTAACGTGCTTCCTGTGTACAGAGAAGTACTCTGTACTCCTTCCCCCTTTAGTGGGTAGCAATGATAGATACCATGTATTAAAGAATGACTTTTTTTCTTTTTTTTTTTTTTCTTTTAAACAAACTATCCCTGGCCACAAATACAGCAAATCACCACAGTCTTAATCACAAAATGGAGGAGAAAGGATGCAATCACATGGCCGGGGCTGTTTGCCATCTCATCGGCCATGATAAGTGAGAGTTATTTAGGAGGGGAAAAAAAGAAAGCACCCCCATTGCATCTCTCTAACTCTTGTTAGGCCTTCTGTATTCAGTTATTGAATGCACTTATTTCCCTTTTTATTTGACCGCAGTGCCAGAACTCCTACCTCACACCTATGGACTCCCTTGGCAATGTCATAAAAATAGATCCATCAGCCATCACCAAACCCAGTCCAACAAACCAGTTACAAAAGAAATATGGATATAACTGAAGCTGATTCCATGAGCAACAAAAGAGAGCAAATAGTTTTGCCACATACTGAACATTTTCTTTAAACTCTTTTTGGAATAAGACTATTTTCCCATTCAGTTGTGCTTCAAAACTAACACACTATACAGGAACATTTATCAATGAATTTCATAATCCTTCTGACAGAATTTACCACTAAATTGCTGCTGTTGTTACAGCTGCAGGGAGACTAGGGGCCTTGATCCAAAACTCAGCACTAAAAAAGATGTGGGAACTCAATGCTAGAAATGATGTGGGAACATCAGCTACGTAGCAAAGCCAAAGGTGGAAAAGAAGGGCATGGGTGTACCTCTGTTTATTCCTTTCCTGAGGAGCTGAAGGGACACCATAGTCAAAGCCACGGGTCAAAGGAGCCCAATGCTTTAAGCTGATGTGAGTTTTACCTTGGAATAAATATACTATCAAACCATTTATTCCAGTAGCAAATTTATGTTTTTGAAAAAAGCACCCCTGAGTGCTCAAGCAATGAATCCAACCTGTAATCAGCTGGACACACATGTGCACCATGGTTCTCAGCAAACAAGGGGTGTTGATCCCAAGGATGTGTGCCTCTAGCACCAGGGGCAAGAGCGGGCTGCTGCGGCTGGTAGAGCAGCTGAAGCAGTTGTAGTTACAGGGCCAGGCATCTAGGTGGAAAGGTGAACACGTTCACAGAGGTTATTAGCAGTTGTGTTGTGACCACTGTATTTTTAGCGTGACTGTCCATCCTTATTCTTCTTTATGTGTCAGTAGCGTTCCATTACAA